AAACATATTACTATTAAAAGGATGCTAACTATGAAAATTAATGTTCTTTAGTAAATAATAATGCTTCTTTATGCTAATTATTATATATTTGCATCATCTCTGGAAACTTTAAGATAGCATCTATTGAGAAATTGTGCTGTGTTCCCTTATTTTGCTTCCTCACTTCTGGTTGCAAATCCATATTACATAAATATTCTCTAGAGAAACTGCAACATACATGAATCACTGAGTTTAATCACTGAGGCTAAACAGGTTTGTTAGAGACAGATTACAAGGGTTTTCTAAGGCCAGGCTGAGAATTTAGGATTTTCTTGCACATAAATACATATCTATTAACTTTCTTGATCAGGATAAGCTGATCAAAGTTATAACTTTTGATTTGTAATGAGTATACAGGGATTAGTATGGAAATTCAAAGCATCATGGCAGACAAATAAGCACATGAAGAGATTTGGACCATCATTGGCTGCTATAGATTTCAATTAAATCAGCATCAAGATATTGCTACCCACCTGTCCAAAAATGACAAAATAAAATAGTGACAATAACAAATGTTGATAATAATGTGGAGAAATTGATCACTCATACATTGGCGGTGGGCATGTAAAATAGTACAGTTACTTTGGAAAAAAGTTTGGCAGTTTCTTATGAAAATAAATGTGCAATTACCATACAAGTCCAGTAACTGTACTCTTCAATAGTTATCCCAAGGAAATAAAGTTTAGGTTGAGACAAAAATATATACATTAATGTTCATAGCATTTTTATGTTAATAGCAAAACTGTTAATGTTAATAGCAAAAACTGGTATCAGCCCAGATATCTTTCAATAGGTGAATGTTTAAAGAAACTATGGTACATATTTATCATGGAATCAGTCACTCAGTTGTGTCTGACTCTTTTCGAGCCGATGGACTGCAGCACACCAGGCTTCCCTGTTCATCACCAACTCTTGGAGCTTGCTCAAATTCATGTCCATCGAGTCAGTGATGTCATCCAACCATCTCATCCTCTTTAATCCCCTTCTCTTCCTGCCTTCAATCTTTCCTAGGATCAGAGTCTTTTCCAAGGAGTCAATTCTTCCCACCAGATGACCAAATTATTGGAGTTTCAGATTCACCATCAGTCCTCCCAATGAATATGATGGAATACTGCTCAACAATGAAAAGGAACAGACTTCATATTCACAACCTGGATGAATCTATGGGGAATTAGACTGCATGGGAAAAAATTCCAAACTAAAAGGGAATGTACTGTATGATTCCATTTTCAAAACATTTTAAAAATGTCAACATTTTAGAAATGTGTACTAGAAATGTATAGTTCTGAACTTCTCTGATGGTCCAGTGGTTAAGAATCTGCCTTGCAATGCATGGGACGTGGGTTTGATCTCTGGCTGGGGAACTAAGATCCCACATGCTGCAGGGCAATGAAGCTTGTGGGGCCACAACGAGAGGAGCCATGCACTACAAGGAAAGATTTCTCACGATGCAATGAAGATCCCATGCCACAACTAAGACCTGGCGCAGCCAAGTAAATAAACACATTCTTTTTAAAGAAATTAGTGGTTGCCAGAGATTAGTGCAGTCCATGGGGTCGCTAAGAGTCGGACACACTGAGCGACTTCACTTTCACTTTTCAGTTTCATGCAGTGGAGAAGGAAATGGCCACCCAACTCCACTGTTCTTGCCTGGAGAATCCCAGGGACGGGGAGCCTGGTGGGCTGCCGTCTATGGGGTCGCACAGAGTCGGATACGACTGAAGCTACTTAGCAGCAGCAGCAGCAGAGATTAGTTATTGGACAAGAGTTGTTCCTGAAGACGGTGGATGTTGTTATAAAAGGGCAACAAGAGAGATCCTTGTGAGGTTGATACTATTTGATATCTTGACTGTGATGTTAGCTACACAAACCCTCGCAAGTGACCAGAATGTACATAACGTAATACACACGTCTGCACACTCACATACAAAGGAGTACAAGAAAATGTAAGACTTCATCAATTCCAATATCCTAGTTATATTATAACTTCGCAAAGTGTTAAAGAGCTCTCTTTAACTTCCTTACAAAGTCATGCTCATAATGAGTCTTCCTCATTTTTTTCTGCAGACTAATCCGTTCCCACCTCCCACATTTTAGAAATGTTAAACTTTTAAAGAGCCCAATCAAGTCTGAATGCCATGGTTAAATATAACTCCATATCCTTCTTTTGCTTTACGTAACTCCACTGTTATAATTCTTCTTGTCTCTTCCAAGACACTGACCTCTAAAGATCTCCCTTCAGAGGGAAAATTTCATTTACCCACAGGCTGCTTCTCTGCTACCTACAAGCCTAAACAGATAATTTCTCTTGGGGACAACAAATTCTTATACTTAAAATTACTGATATTATTCATTTAAACTGAGTCTGAAAACAGGCCCAACATTTACTATACATATGTGTGGAAGTCACTCAGTCTGTCTGATACTTTGCTACCCATGGACTGTAGCCCAACAGGCTCCTCTGTCCGTGGAATTCTCCAGGCAAGAATACTGGAATGGGTTGCCATTCCCTTCTCCAGGGGATCTTCCTGATCCAGAGATTGAATCCAGGTCTCCTATACTGCAGGCAGATTCTTAACTGTTTGAGACACCAGGGAAAATACCATAAATCCCGAAATGTTGTATTTGAAGACTGTTTTAGAAATAATACAGTAGTATGTGAAGCATTAAATTATAATATCAAGTAAATAATTCCTCAATAAAACAACTGAAGTGTTTTCACAAAATATTACACAAACAGGTGTCAAATGAATGGCATATAACACAAATGCTATAGAAGTCGAAATGAAGTCTTATTTTAACTATATCTTTTGATGTGTAGGGAGTTAATAACAAATTTAAAAATAATGAACAAAACTATTAGTATTGCAAAGAGTCAGACATGAATGAGTGACTGAATACACGCACACTGTTCTAAACGGTCCTTGACACAAACATTCTAATTTTCAGAATTAAACAGACTGTACTTCTATCACCTAGAGAGAAGTTTCCATGTATTACTCATGTTAATTTCTCTAGAGTCTAGCAAAGCCAACGTATAATTGAGGCTCAACACATTCTTGCTGAACTGTATACAGGTTTCTACATGAAGGTCAAAGGGGATTGGTATGTAACAGATACTTGTTACAAAGAAGAATTCATTCTTAAAATGCTTGCATATACATGTACACATACTCAAGTAAATATAAAATTCCACACTAAAGTTAAGACAGAGTACAGAATACGTCCCTAAAAGAGTTTCATTATCTAGTAATAATAACACTAAAATCTGATTTTGTAATAAAAACATTTGTGTGACATTTCTTTCACTCTAGAAATTATGTAGAAAAAATTTAAAAGAAGACAATTTCAGGTGAGATTCTGTAAAACTATATGGAAAATGACCTCACATTGTTTGTTTCAATGATCAGATTGATGGGTATTGGCATCCTAGAAACTACTATCCAAAAAAAAGGTTGGGGGAGTTTATCAAATCTAAAGAAAAACTAATTGCTGAACATGCCAATCTCTTAAAACTAAGTATAATTTTGTAATCTTTTAAAGTGACACTTTTCATTTGTAGAGTTGTCCCCTCACTAGAGCATACTGTGAAACACAATGTACCCTACGGCTTTGTTCCCAGAGTTGGTAAACCACATGAGCATAAATAGAAACAAGGCCTTTGAGGGTGGCCAGGGTATGTAACACACATTTTGTCATAAAGCCAGATCAGTGTGCAAGGTATGAGAGAAAATAATTAATTCATTGCCAATATTATGGAAATTTTCTAATTACATCTATTCATATCAAACATATTTAAAAACTTTTCTAAATAGTATCAAATGCTTAAATTTTAATAGGTCAATTAAACTTCAGACAAGGGACTGTCCTTGAATGGAAAGAAAATAATTTATCTTTTTTGCACAATGGCACTCTAATCTATATAAAATCAAGTGAAGCAATACTTAGAAAGTTACTGTTAAAATAATAAAAGTTATTTTCTAGATAATTCAGTTAAACATGCTTTAAGCAGAAGTATATCTTCATTTTCTTAAGATCTGTATTATATAGATTTAAAAAAATTTAAATTTAATAATTCTAATCATTTCAAAGTAAATCTGATAACTACGCTCTCATGTTGGTATTCCAAGGAAGGAAATATGCATCTTAATTTCTTCATTTTACAATCACTAATTCTTATATAACTTGACTTTAAAATGTATATATATATGTATTGTATATGTTCAAACATATACATTTACACATACTTGACATTTCACACTACTGTTATTTTCTTCCTAACAAGACTTTAATAGTGTCTTTTTTTTTCATCTATAAATACAGCAGATTATTGCCTTCTGCTACATCTGCTTTTAATGTGTGCTTTAGTACAAGTAAATCTAAATATTTTGCTTGACTTTAAAGAAAAATCTTTCTGCTATTTTTACTATTTTGGGGGGAAAAAAAAGGCACAAGACAGGTTTTTACAGAAATATTTCCAGACCATCCACTCAGAGTTGCTGCCAGAGATTTTGATTTTTTTAAACAATCAGATTGGTTCCTGAAAGCACCATTTTCTTGCCAAACTCAATACTAATGAAAGTTCCCTGTGGAATTTTCATAGAAAGACTAAGCTTAGTAGGGTAGTTCAATAAAACAAGTAAAAAGTAAATGGCAATAATTCAATAAAGTATGGCAGCAGTGGAAAGAGTCCTTAAAAGCAAGGTTTAAACAGTTCTCAAGCATCTCCCGATGTTTCATCTCCCTGTAAACCAAATGCAATGAGGAGTGGGGACCACCGTGTGTTAACCCGCTCACCTACCGTAATAGTATGACAGATGCTTCCCACCTGAAGGGGTCATGCCTGGGAGACGGAGGAGAAGCGGGACACTGACAGAATGCCCAGGGAGAGTATTGATCCACTGACTCTTCTCTGCTAACCATTAGAGAGACATGAGCTGACAGTAATTAAAATGACTTACACACTGGGATGGTTTCAAACTCAAATCTTCGACTGAAGACACCATAGCCTGCTGCCGTGCGTGCCCGAATTTGGAAGACATACACCGAAGCTGGTTTCAAGCCCTCCGCAGTTATAGATGTCTCTTTAGATTTGATAATTGTATAGCTGGTCTCTTGGTCCTTGGGTCATACATGTAGATAAGATAAAAAGAAGACAACATATGAATTACTAATGATGGCAAAATTTAGAGTCAGAGATGAGAAAAGGATTCAGAAACTAACAGATTTGATATTAGTGCAAATAAGATAATTTTAGAGAAAAAAAATCCTACATATCCTAGGAGTGCTAGTTAAACAGAATGCTATTTTCTAGAACTCAAAGATGGTGGATGTGTTTTCCACCCATCCACTGCTTGCCCTGGGCAGAAATAGATATGTAAACTTTAAAAATACAATTTCTAAAAGACACACTATTTTACAGACTCTATTTTAGTATTGCTAATTGTGTGCTTGTTTTTCTCATAAATGACTTATTCGAGTGCATCTAATATGATGCTTGTTTACAGAGAAAGGTTACAATGTCCAATGTACTGCCAGATAAGACATATATCTTTTATCTTTAGTGAATTTGATTTCTAATTATATTTAGGTGTTGGGAGAAGGAATGAGTACTTCACTGGAGAAGTTTAATTTCAGTTCACTATGTTGAAATGACATTTTAAAGAAAAAATGCAAATAAGCAAAGTATTTTTTTTTTCCTTTTAAAAAAGTTCTAGTTTTTCACTTTTATGTGTTTGGGCTAGGTTACTAGTGAACAGAGATGGAAGAGGAAAGGGAAAAATCACTGGAAAGATAGTTCTAGAAAGTGAAACAAAGAGGAACTATTCCTGATTTGACTAGTAACAAAATTCTAGACAAACCATCTATAACTCATTATCTCTGAAGTTTACGATGCCAAATAAAAAAATTTAGATCTTTAAGGATTTGAAACACAGTTCCTGTTTTGAACTTTCTCTTCCTTTATATTTTTATGTGTGATTCTTGGCTAAACTTGTCTTTTCCTTAAGGAAATGTATTACATTTATGATTGATATTATAGGATGAATTAAAGATAGGTTATAGTTAGAACATTTTTTATACCTTTTTAAGAATTGATCTTTACTTACAAAAACTGGTTAATGACTAAAGATCATTGTTTTCTAAATATTTCAGTGAATTTTGTCTTTATAAGCAGAAAAATGTATTTTTTAAAAATGCTCTAAGGGGACCAACATATAAAGGATTTATTTTTTCTAAATGAGAAAACAATTGAAAACATGAATATAATATTCACTTCTCAAGTACTCTTGAGAAGAATATGCCAAACTCAGTAGGGAGTTTGGGAATTCTCTACTCCAAACTTATCATTTGGATTACTTGATGTTGACAATGCTATGAACACACAAAACAAATGCAAACCACACTCATTGTCCCTTGAAGTCTACAGCAGGCTATGCTGTATCTTTAATGTGGACACTGAAACCCATTTTTATTTTTATCCTCAGTTTCCTTATCTGTAAAATTGGGGTAGAGACTGGCACTTGGATATCCTCACAGAGATGTAAGAATGAAACAGATAATGCATGTGAAAGCACGTAAAATAAGTTTTAATGTAATAATCATTTTTTTTTCTTGTTTGACACATCAAAGTCAACTTCTAACCAAGTTCTATGCTACCAAAAATAAAATATATAATGTATAAATATGCTTCTCTTAAAGTAGTTCACCATCCTTCATTTAATACATTCAAACATATAAATTTTTCTTAGGGTTAAGTATATCCAAATTTCTTTCTGGGTAAATATGGTTTAAATTCTAATCCAAATGGGTTTTTCTGATTTACTTTACATAAACAATTTATCTTTATTTTTAATGAACATATTAATTTAAATGCCTAGTCTTTAAAGTGTTTAGGAAATTTTGTTACAATTTTGCAAAGAATTTAAAGTAGATAATTAAATTCTATAAACTTTACCTAGTAATGTTAGCCATTTTCTCTCACAAATATTTAAAATCTCCTCTTGTCTACTCTTCTATGTGCTAGAGGTAGAGCAGTAAAAAAGTAGATGATTTCTTGATGTGTTCCTTTAAAAAGGGGTAAATAGCTTCTATAAGCTATTGTAGTTACTGATGTTCTGGGTATACTCAAGTTTGTGACTGAGTGGGCAAGACTTTCTCAATAATATATTTCACAGCTTGGCTGTGATTGAATCAGACATTTTCAGTAAGAAATGCTAAAATATATATTCACTATTATTTGTAATTTGCTTGAAGGGAATTTGAGTTGGTGAAAAAAATCTAGACAAAACTAAAGATTCTCTTATGTTTGATATAATTAGGATTTTTACATGAAGTATAAACATTTATATGTAAAGTAAGATGTTCTTTTTAATGAAAAAAGCATAGAAATACCAGGGTTAGAATTCTAGCCATTATTAACTAAAGTATGTGTGTAAATGTGAGTATGCAACTCAACCTAAGTTTTCTTCTTTAGAATAGGATGGAATTACTTGTTATGAGCTTTGTGAGGACACAGAGATAGAGATAATATACATAACACCTAGCACAATCTTCTGGACATTACAGCTTTGATTTGCCCCTATAACATGATGACAAGTTCTTCTACTCAAAAGAAAAAAAAAAGTTAAAAACCTTATATGATTGTAACTTCTAGGTATTAGAAAAATAGAAATGGATAATTTCATCAAAAAAGAAAAAAACACTTCAAGGAAACTGGAATGTTGTTTCTTCAATAAAGTATGATCTGCTATCACTTGAACACAATTATACAACATTCCATCTGATTATCTAGTAACATTATGTATGTCTCAGTGTTTCCTCATCACAGATCTAACTGTACATTGTCTCTCTGAGTTAGCTGAGTAAGTTATCAAGGGGACTTAGTGAAGCTTATACTAAGGGGTCAAAACCCATAAATACACATTTTAAATCATTTAAGTATCTTCTAAAATTTGCTTCTGTTCCACTTCTTTAAATCATACTCAGAATTTCCACCATGTCACAAACTATGTACACATCTTCAACACCCACGACCAAGTGTTGTCAAGTCCTTGCTTAGGGCAGTGGCTTTTGCTGCCTTTATGTCCCAGCTGAGCAAATGAGCTACGTTCCCCAGCTGCTTAGCAAACATTGTTCACAGGCAGCATGGGGACGGCCTTCGCAGAAGGAGCCAGCTGGCAAACACTCTGCCAAAGGGCAGCTTCCCTTTGCCTGTCTTTAATTAAGAGGTGGCAGTGGGCCCATCACCATGCAGGAGCAGAGAGGCCCAATGACCTCTATTAGAGCAGGGCAATCACAGGCAGAAATGCCAGCTGGCAAGTGTGTGAGCCCTGGAAAGCTCTGCCACCTGTGTCTGGCCAAGAGCCATCCAATAAAATGGTGGTATCATTCTGAAGATTTAAAATAAGCCCTGGCAACCTATCAGGACCCCCACCTCAATACATGATATCAAAGCTCATTATCCCCCCCCCCCGCTTTTTTCCTTTTCAAAGTGTTAAAAAAAAGCAAAACTTTTTGTGTATTTTATTGGTGTGCTCAATAATTTTACTTGGCAAAAGTCTGGGAATTAATATCTTCTCTGTAAAAGGAAAACACTGACCAAAAGATAATGATAACTTCCCCAAAATAATATATAAGGGTTTTTGCTGCTTTTAAAGCAAACTTTTAGGCAACTTTTATTCATTCATTGAATATGTGAATAGAAATCTTTTTTCCCAAAATCATTTTTTCTTACTTCGAGTTGTACAGATAATAGAGTGTACTAACACAGCATTAAATATAAAATATTAAGCATAAAGCCAAATGTTACTGAAACAAATATTACATAAAATGGACTATAACAAACATATTTCCATAACATGGATATGATTAATTAGAATAAATATTAACAGACAAGGGCTTTGCCCCACCACTTGTTGAGTAATTATTTGTTTTAACAAAAGCAGCAGCTTAAATGAAAAAAAAAAAAAGATAAATCCTTGCTCCTAAGGAATATCATGTATGAGACTCATGCATATGCTGAGAAGCAAGTGATAAAACAATCAAAGGTCGCCCATAAGGGGAAAAAAATAGGGACAATTTCCTTAAAGACAAAAAAAATAAACAACAAAAAAACCCCACTAAACTCATAGGTTCAGCTATGAATAGTTGTTTCAGGTAAAGAAAAACCAGGCAGGAAAATAAATAATTGTCAAATGTTTACAGTTCCTGCTGAAAAACTTCATTGCATCTAAGATATGTATATTCAGGTATATGGATTATATGTGACCCCATGGACTATAACAATCCATGGAATTCTCCAGGCCAGAATACTAGAATGGGTAGCCATTCCCTCCCCTAAAGGATTTTCCCAACCCGGGATCAAACCCAGGTCTCCTGCATTGTGGGCGGATTCTTTACCAACTGAGCTACCAGGGAAGCCCAAGAATATTGGAGTGGGTAGCCTATCCCTTCTCCAGAGGATCTTCCTGATCCAGGAATCAAACCAGGGTCTCCTGCATTGCAGGAGGATTCTTTACCAGCTGAGCTATCAGGGAAACCCCTATTCAATTATATAGGTTTTTTTGGTGTATAGCTATTCTAAAATGCCAGTATGAATCTCAACTTATTTTAAAGTTAACTTTAATTACAATAAAAGTCTGGAAACTTAAAATGTTTACAAAAGAATTCATAAATTCATATATTTGCCTAGCTTTGAATTAGTATGCAGTGATAAAGTTTACAAAAACATGAAAAAAGAAATGTACAACTAAATTTAACAAATTAACTTTGAATACAGCATGTGTTTGAAGACTTCTAGCATCAGCAATTCAGTTTGGACCATGACTCCCAGAGAAACAGGAATCACTGAAGTATATTAATGTTGTAATATTTTACTTGATTTACTCTATCTTTTTCAGCAAACACTGTACACCTTACCCCGACATAGCTTTGTATCAAAGTATTTTCTTAGAACATTCTTGGTGAATAATGTTGATATAATTTTTTTTCTGAAATATCAATATATTCATTTATGTTCCCTAATAATCCACTTAGTTACATTTAATGCTACCAATAAGTCATTCTTAGACAATGATTTCCAAAATAATAACTGAGTTATTTATCCATTTATAAAATCAATATATGAACATTGTAGAGACATTCAAAACCTAGAAAAAAGATGTAGATAGCCCCACTCACCCCACATAAACTCTATGTTTCATTCTCTGTTATATCTTTACACAGAAAATTGTTGAATCCATGATGAAACAAGCAAAAAATGCTATGAATTACTTCAATGTGTTTCAATGTATTTACTTATAATGCTTATCTATCATATATATTGAATTCCAATTTTAAGTAACTTTCATTAATAGGAGATCAGTATTTCTCATGACACTTTTGCATTAGTATAAGGAAAATGCTTATTCTCCTTCTTAATTCTAGCATCCAACTTGGACAAATATCTTAGGTATTGCAAAGTGAGTTTTTAAACTTCCACCCTCTTCACCCTTTCCTAAGAGAGGAGTGATATCTCTGGGAGTTTATGAGAAGCAGTTGGATAAGTGTGGCTTCCCTTCCCTTTTGTGATCTGCTTCTCAGTATTATGTCAGCCATCTTTTCTACTCCTACTTCCATAGAACATACACTTCTGGGCCAGGGTCTCCAACCCACCGCTTAGAGTCTGGTTTGAACACTCATCTATTTTTATCCCTGTTCTATTACAACTCAAGCTGTTCTAGATAGTGCATGTCATTCAGATCTAGTCTATACAAAAAGCACAATACAGTGCGTCTCCTACATACAAATAAGTTCCGTTCCGACAGCCCGTTTGTAAGTCCTATTTGTTTTTAAGTCCAATAAATTTAGCCTAGGCTTCCGCAGTGGCTCACACACTAAAGAATCTGCTGCAATGCAGGAGACCCGGGTTTGATCTCTGAGTAGGGGAGATTCAATGGAGAGGGAAATAGCAACCCACTCCAGTATTCTTGCCTAGAGAATTTCAAGGACAGAGGAGCCTGGCAGGCTACAGTCCATGGGGCTGCAAAGTCAGACATGACTGGGTGACTAACACACAAATTTAGCCTAGGTACCCAATTAACACAAATCACCTACATGGTATTGTACCATAATGAGTTTATAATACCTTTCATACAAATAATACATAAAAAACAAACACAAAAATAAAATATTTTTAATTTTACAGTACTGTGCTTTGAAAAGTACAGTAGTACAGTACAACAGCTGGTATACAAGGGTATATTCACATATTTGAAAGATTGCAATTTAAAGGTTCATATGTAGGCAACTTACTGTAAGATGGGAGTGGAGGTTAGAAAATGCTAATCTAACATAATATATCTAAGCCAAATACACCAGTTCAGCTTTAGAAATTATAAGTGCATCTTTAGTTTCTACCTGTTTATTCCTTTATCAGTAGCTCACTTGGTCATGGATTCAGAAAAGAGAAAAAAGAATGATTATTGCCTTTAGATTTCAACAACTATTATGGCAAAACAATAACTCAGGGAAGAAGAGGGAAATCAAGAAACTATAGGGAATGCGAAGCATACACTTCCAATTTTATGCCCTCAAATTTTAAAATAAATTTTATGCTACAGTGTTAAGACCTTTGTCATAGGTTTTCTAAAATTATCAGGTATACATACATGCTACCTGCTGATACTTCCAAATAGAATAGGTATTATGCAGGGTTACTGGCCATGAGGTTGTGTTTTTCCCTGTAGTATACTGCAGTCACTACTGAAGGTTAACAGCTTCATCATTTGGGACACTTTGAAAACGTTCTGTGACTTTATCTTTCAATGCTGTGAAGCCTAGTGAAGCTGATGCTAGATTACATTGCAGTATTCCGGCAGCGTGAACCATTTGGCAGCACAGAACACAAATAAAGCACTCACTATACACGTCGGGCCTTCATAATCATGACTGCAAATCTACTGTCATGGATTTACACCTAAAATTGTAACATGTTTCTCTACAAATTGGATAACTGCAGTTGCTAAAATTAACATGGAAAAGGAAGAAAGGATATTTTTTATTCTGTTAGTCCCACCTTTTCAAAATATTTGATTTCATACTCCAGGATGATTCCATTGGGGCGATCTGGCTCTTGCCAAGACAAGGAGATGCTGTTCTTAGCTATCTTCCCCTTTTTCACATTGGTGACTGGAGAGGGGGCTGCAAAATGGAGAGCAGCATGATTAACAGAGTCTTCAAATTACACCTGCCTGTCATGTGTATCGGCACACTTGAAGGTAATATAATAAACATACCAAACACTTAACTTTTCATTGTACCTGGAAACAGTTATTCTTTATATACGAGTTTTTATAGATTTAGAATTGCTTTAAAAATATAAATCAACTTATATCCTGAGAAATTTCTGTAATAAAATTATAGTCACATAGAATCTTAAGTCCACATTTTCCCTATAAAGTTTAGATACACAAGCTATCTTCTTTTTATAGAATAAAGATGTTCTTAATGATCTTATGTCTATTCTACGTTTCTAAAATTCATGGACTCTACAACATATTCCATAACACTAACACGTACATGGTTATCCCTATTACCATATTTTTATAATATTAAGACTTTCATAATTTCTTATTTTTGAAATCATATGAGTCCTATAATCATTGATATTTCATATATTAAATATAGTGGAGGTCTTTCTTAAAATTATGCTTAAATATGTGTAGTATATATAAAACAATAGCAAATAAAAGAAGCATTTCCCTTCACATCCATTTTCCCCAAATATTTCATTAGAAATCACAATTGCTTACGATGTCCATTGTTATTTGCCCATGTCTATTAAATGACTGTTTATCTGATAATAATAGGAAAAAAATGCTACTTTCTGAGTATTTTGAACTCCCACACATTTGAATATTTGACTCGGCATCCATTTTTTATCAAACTGATGAGATTTGTATAGACTCTGGGTTTGACACCATAAAGAGGTGCTGACATAATTTTCTTAATGTAGATAACCTTTATTTTTGTAGTTTTCAGATTTTATAGAAGACAAAGCAAAAAATTATCATGGGCATGCAGATTCTTTACCACTCGTGCCCCCCGGGGTGCCTATGTGTGTATATATATATATATATATATATATATATATATACACACGCACACACACACACACATATCATGAGTGTATGTAAGTGTAGAGACAGAGAAATACATAATATGCATATTTTATAATGTACATGTAATAAGATGGAAAAGATGTCAGCCAAAATGAGTAGTGTATAGCCACTACGTGATAGCCCTGTGGTAGTGTATAGCCTTATGTGAACAATATTATATATCTACTGAGATTAAAATTTATGTATATATATGTTGGGCCTCCCTTGTGTCTCAGATGGTAATGAATCTGCATGTAATGCAGGAGGACTCAGGTTCGATTCCTGGGTCAGGACGATCCCCTGGAGAAGGAAATGGCAACCCACTCCAGTATTCTTGCCTGGAGAATTCCATGGACAGAGGAGCCTGGTGGGCTACATACAGTCCATGGGGTCACAAAGAGTCAAACACAACTGAGCAGCTAACAAAAAGAAATAGTAATGCATATGCTATATTGTTGTTGCTGTTTTAGTCTCTAAGTTGTGTCCAATTCTTTGCGACCCCATGGAATACAGCCCATTAGGCCCCTCTGACCATGGGATTTCCCAAACAAAAATACTGCAGTGGGTCGTCAATTCCTTCTCAAAGGGATCTTTGTGACTCAGGCAGCAGACTCTGGTCTCCTGTGTCTCCTGCAATGGCAGGCAGATTATTCACTGCTGAGCTACCAGGGAAGCCCTATATGTTACATCCATATACATATGGATGCATAGTACTTCTATTTTAATTTCCAGCAGTATTCAGTCAAAATAATACACTGTAATTTGTCATGTTTAATTATATTTTCCATTCCTCAGAAAATGTAATCAAATCAGAGGCACCATTTTGAGCAACAGACAGCAAGAACCAAGTTTAGAACTATTTGCGGGGCTCCACGCTAGTGTAAAAGGGGGATGGGAAGAGGCTCATCATTTAAAAACAGAAGTGAGATCACGTCATTCCTCTGTACCTCTGGGTCTCACTGCAGAGTAAAACTCAAATGTGGACAGACACACAAGCATCAATACGGTCTGGCTCTCTGCATCTTCTTTGACCTCACCACCTCTTGCTACTTCTTCAGCAGCTCCGCCCAGGTTGGTGGCCCCACGCACTTCTGACACACTCCTGCATAGTGTTAGCTGCTCACTTGTGTCCAACTCTTTGTGACCCCACGGACTGTAGCCCAACAAGCTCCTCTTTCCATGGAATTCTCTAGGCAAGAATACTGGAGTGGGTTACAATTGCCTTCTCTAGGCTGGCTGCCCCAGGCACTTGACACACTCCTGCCTAAGGATTTTCTGTCTGCATACTCATATTCAGAGGTGCTTCTCACTCTGACTCCAGAGCTCGCTCCCTCTTCTGGATTTCTCACTGAGACCTTTGCTTTTTGCTCTCTCCTTTAGCCCCCCTTATCTTGCCACATCCTCTGATCTTCACAATTTAATTTTTCCCCTATTTCTTGCACTTCTATCATCTGACATTCATATCTTATCTTATTTCTATATGAATTCTTCCTATTCCTATTTTCTTTTTTCAATCCTCTAAGTAGAGTGTAATCTTATGAGGGCAGTGATAGTGTTATTCTCATCCGTTGCTGAATCCTAGCTCTAGAACAGCACCTGAACAGAGGAAGGTTCAATAAATATGTATGGAATAAATGAGTGGTGGTAAAAAATCAAATACAGAGGAATCTTTTATTTTTTATTATGTATTATATTATGTCAGCAAATTCATCTATTAAAAGTGACATGTCTTTCAATAAAATCAAAATAGAAACAACTATCTGTAAGAGCAAGGTCTGGTAACTGTCTAGTGTCTTATAAACCCATAGGTTATATTGACTTTGATACTATAATATGTACTTATATTCTTTTAATCATAGGGCTTTGTGGTGTTCAGAGAATGTACAATTTCAGCTTTATCTTCTATTCTTTTTTTTAAAAAAATTTTAATTGAATGCTAATTACTTTACAGAATTTTGTTGTTTTTCTGTTAAACATCAAAAAAAATGCTGGAGAGGGTGTGGAGAAAAGGGAACCCTCTTACACTGTTGGTGGGAGTGCAAACTAGTACAGCCACTATGGAGAACAGTGTGGAGATTTCTTAAAAAACTGGAAATAGAACTGCCATATGACCAAGCAATACCACTTCTGGGCATACACACCAAGGAAACCAGATCTGAAAGAGACACATGCACCCCAATGTTCATCGCAGCACTGTTTTATAATAGCCAGGACATGGAAGCAACCTAGATGCCTATCAGCAGACGAATGGATAAGGAAGCTGTGGTACACATACACCATGGAATATTACTCAGCCATTAAAAAGAATTCATTTGAATTAGTTCTAATGAGATGGATGAAACTGGAGCCCATTATACAGAGTGAAGTAAGCCAGAAAGATAAAGACCATTACAGTATACTAACGCATATATATGGAATTTAGAAAGATGGTAATGATAACCCTATATGCAAAACAGAAAAAGAGACACAGATGTACAAAACAGACTTTTGGACTCTGTGGGAGAAGGCGAGGGTGGGATGTTTCGAGAGAACAGCATGTATATTATCTATAGTGAAACAGATCACCAGCCCAGGTGGGATGCATGAGACAAGTGCTCGGGCCTGGTACACTGGGAAGACCCAGAGGAATCGGGTGGAGAGGGAGGTGGGAGGGGGGATGGGGATGGGGAATACATGTAACTCCATGGCTGATTCATGTCAATGTATGGGAAAACCCACTGCAATGTTGTGAAGTAATTAGCCTCCAACTAATAAAAATAAATGAAACAACAACAAAAAAAGAATCAGTCATAGGTTTGCATATGTCCCCTCCCTCTGTCCAGCTCCACAGATTTTCTGGTGGCTTGGATGGTAAAGAATCTTGTCTCCAACACAGGAGATCTGGGTTGGGAAGATCCCCCTGGAGAAGGAAATGACTACCCACTCCAATATTCTTGCCTGGACGACTCCATGGACAGAAGATGTGGTGGGCTACAGTCCAGGGGGTCACAAAGAGTCACAGACAACTGAGCGACTGATCAACTTTCATTTTGGGCCTTCCCTCCTGGCTCAGATGGTAAAGAATCTGCCCAAAATGCAGGAGACCTGAGTTTGATCATGGGTCCGGAAGATCCCCTGGAGAAGGAAATGGCAACCCATTTCTAGTATTGTTGCCTGGAAAATTCCATGGACAGAGGAGCCTGGTGGGCTACAGTCCAGGGGATCAAAGAGTCAGATAGGACTGAGCACACATACACACTACAGAACACAAAGTGTGTGTACAAAGCCAAACTTGTTTAAAAGTAGTTTTGAAATCGAAGTTTATTTACTTTCATATAAACCCTTTATTTGACTGGTGGTTCTTACAGTCACATTCTGGAATAAGTGCAAAGTCCCTTTTGATTCCCTCATGAGGGAAAAGTCATTCCATCTTTGGTACTATGGACAAACCATCCAGAATACAGGGAAAGAAGGAAGAGCAAGCCATAGGCCCCCTAGTTCATCATAGTGTTTATAGCAAAGCAGCCAATTTACTGACTGGTGGTTCTCACAGTCACATTCTGAATAAGTGCAAAGTCCCTATTGATTCCCTCATGAGGGAAAAGTCATGCCATCTTCAGTACTACGGACAAACCAACCAGTATAAAGGGAAAGAAGGAAGAGCAAGATATAGGCCCCCTAGTTCATCATAGTGTTTTCAGCAAAGTAGCAAATTTACTGAAGTAGAAACAGGAAGAGAGAATTCAGGAAGATAACAGAATTTTTTTTTAATATACTGTGTTCGATAGTGTGTATTTTTATGAATCACATAAACTACACTCACTGTCCCATTACCACTATATATGTTTCATTATACTTTAGTAAAGATCCAAAGACTGTCTTTAAAGTTCTTCACTCATTTCACTACATTGCAGACATCCTCATTTTGGATGATGTAGTTTTTATAGACAGGTTTCAGTTTTCACTTAATGAACTGATGGTATTGCCAACTTTTTATTCAAAACTGCATTTAATATGTATGCTCCATGAAGGCAGGGAATAATTTGATATAGTTCACTGCTA